GCACGCCGGGCCCGGGACCCAGCTCTCACGGGCTCTGCAGGGGCGGGATGTATTTTCCCAGCTATAGATTAGGCCTTGGGGGGAGGCCAGCCAGCCGAGAGCCCTTCGCTGCCCTGTCCCCTGGGCTTTCCTAGCAGGCTCTGAGGAGAACCCCCCGTGGGCTGCAGCATGCCGGCTGGTGATGTCACAGGAAAACCCACCCAGCCCGGGCTTGCTGTGAGCCGAGCCCCTGCTGCTCCTGCTCTGGCCCCTTAGGTCCTGCTTTAATGTAGGACCCTCCTGAAAACGCTTGCTCCTGGCCCGGCCAGGAGATGGCTGCAGTCCGGCCCCTTGTGGGCACATCGGGGATTGCTCGTCCCACCTAGCCCAGCTCTCCAAACGCACCGAGCGGACCATGCCAGCCAGAGCCCCAGCGGACAGACAGGCGCCCCGCGCCAGCCCTGACCGACGGGGCAGAGCGTGCGGGAGCAGCGGGTTTCTAGCTGCCGTGGGGCCCCAGGCTGGCCGCGTATCTCTGCCCCCTGCGGCTCGGCCCACCCTGCTTCTCTGACGGCGTCCCCGGCCGGTGAACTTTTCCCCCGCTTGTGTCAGTGTCGCCCCCACCTGCGACCGCAGCGCCTTTCCTCTCGCCCCCAGCCGGGGGCAGGGTGAGGAGGCCATGCACAGCTGCTGTGTCAGCGCTGGGAGGAAACCACAAGGCAGAGGCCCCTTCCTCCGCCCTCCCCAGGCCTAGCTGCATGCAGAGCCCTCCCCGGGGAAACCCCCTGCCTGCCCAGCCCACAGTGTCAGAGCTGTGAGCGCATTCAGCGCCGGGCTGGGGAGCACCGGGTGCTTCCCCAGGTCCCTCCCCATAGCCCAGCCTGCTCCCCCAGATGGCCCCCCTGTGAGCACTTGGGGACGGGGGGCATTATATCATACTCACTGCCCTGTGATTCCCTGGGGGTTGGGGGGGGGGAGAAGCATGTGATTGCAGTGTGCCTCAGTTTCCCCCGGAACATCCTGTTCCAGCATTTGGGGTATGAGCTCCCCAGCGGACCCCGCGGGACCTGGCGCTCCCACCTGCATCTCAGCATGGCAGTGAGAGCCTGCCCCAGCCCCCCCCCGCTGGGCAGGCGCTGGCTCCTGCTTGCCTGTCCGTGGGCGCTCAGGTGTTTGCCTGTCGATGGCTGTTGGCGGGAAATGGCACGACGGGGAGAGGATGCCCAGTGACGGTTCCTCAGCTGAGGCCAGGACTGAGCCTGCCGGGCTAGCTCAGCCTGAGAGGGCAACCCTGTGCCCAGCATTCCCGACTGCAAAGCCCCCACCCCTGGTGGAGAGGTGCTGGGTACTCACTGCCCTGGTATCTGTGATTCCCTGGGGACCAGGAGGGGGAGGGGCATGTGAGTGCAGTGTGCCTCAGTTTCCCCCAGAACATGACGGTGATGAAGCTTCTATGACTCATGGGGAGGAGAGGGTGAAGGTAAATTCACAAGTGTGTGTGAGGCCCCAGGGCAGGAGGAGGGGCACGGAGAAAGGTATCCAGCCAGCTTGGCATAGGTCACTGCATGGGCCTGGGGGCAGGAATGGAGGAGCTGGGCACAGACACTGGGGGGAATGATGAAGGGACTTGGGGTTTGCAATAAGCCACCTTCCCCTGAGGGGTTTCTGGGGTTGTCCCGCTTCTGCCATGTTCTAAATATCCAGCCCTCTTCCTCAGAGGGCCAAACAAAACACTCCCTGCTTTAATGTAGGACCTACACTATTAGGAGTGAAATCACAACGAGCGCCTGCACGTTGTTGCCTCGTCCAAGGGGGTCCCCGACGCTTTCTGGCAAACTTTGACTGAGCCTTTTTTAAGCCACAGCCCTTGTGAAACTGGCCCGTGAGGGGAGCGTTCCCAGTTCCCCCCTCCCCACCGGGCTGTGTCTGGCTCCCGAGAGCCGGAGCCAGAATACGAGTCAGGTCCTGCCTCTAGCCGTGAGTGGCAGGGGGGCGTCCAGCAGTCACGGGCCCCTCCCTGGCCTCTGTCCCTGCAGCTGGAGTCTGGGGGCCGTGGCTCCTGGCTGAAGGTGAAGTGGGGGAAGCACTGAGTGAGGTAACTCTCCCTGGAGCGGGAAGGGGGCTGGTTGGGGCAGAGGTGGGGGGCGGGGGCAGGGCCGGA